TAAGCGATGAATAATGATATGTACCGATATGGTGCGGTAAATGTGAAGTTTTCAGCGATGCCGCACGAAATCGAATGGTTGTCGTACGTCATCAATGTTTTGAACATGGGCGTCATAGTTGTACTTCTTTCCATAGTCACGCTTTTTGGCATGAATAAGCGAAATACGAACAATATGCTATCAGTGAGAGGTATGCTATTCTACCTTTCTCTTTCTATTGTGGCGCACGATTTCACACAAAAGCATGGTTTATCTGATTTATTTGACATTTTTCAATGCTCCTGAACTGTTTGCACTCATTTTCAGAGCCGAAAAACAATACGTGTCATCACTGATAAAATTGTTGATAGATTAATGATGATCCATTTCCAAAAAAAAACATGAAAAAAGATACGGCAATGCTTGTATTGAGCGGTCCAATGCGTTAAAGTCGTCCCACCCGTGAGGACCAGGTATGGGGATCACTGTGAGATGATTTGATTTTGCATCGAACATAGACAATTCCTTTGTTCTCGAAATTTTAGTTGGTAGCGAAGAATTAGTGTTCCATGGTACAGTGGCATTGATTCCACCTTCAAAACGATCACTGTGGTTCGACTTCGAAAATGCCGCAAAATGTAGAGATGAGTTTTAGGTGGTTACCTATTGACATGAAAGCATTCCATCTCGGTATGGATATTTGACGTTTATTCCCAACAGCCGGATAAGGGTAATTAGTACTGTCCCTCGTAGTGATTTTATGAAAGTTCGGGTAATTATGCTTTTTGACTTCACAAAAGCAAGTTTTCTGTAACGCATCCGTTTCAGGTCGACAGGAAGTGAGCAGAAGTCAGTCTCAGTCTTCGTCATCCGAAGAATTAAAGGTAAAATATTTGTGTCTTCCGACGATTAAAATTCGCGGTTTCTGGATAACCATCAATTACAAGGACTGCGTCTCGTGATATGCAGTACTTATATATGTATGTATGACTAGCGCGTAGATTTGAGAGCAAATGCTCATGAGAGCAAATGTGAGCTAATGGACGAGATAACCCACCCTCACCCTAGCA